ACCAGACGGGAAACTGCTGGCCACTGTGTGTAAGGACGGAAAAGTGCGACTGTACGACCCACGCAAGTCCACCTTGCCCGTCCAGGTTAGTTCAGCATCAGATTAATATTATTAAACTTCGAAAGCAAAATAAATCGTATCTTTTTGACAAAGTTTTACCATCTTTGTCTATGTAGGAGGGCCCAGGACCTGAGGGCCAGAGAGGGGCCCGTGTAGTGTGGGTCTGTGATGGCAAGTACCTGCTGGTTTCAGGATTCGACAGGTACAATATACCACAAATTTAGCCAAAATGATCATAGTATTGTTACTAGCAGTGCCTCTCTGGCACTAAAAGAGTTTTAATGGCTTATTTCCTTTACAGCCGCAGTGAAAGGCAGCTGTACCTGTTCTCTGCTGAGTCCTTGGCATCCGGGTCTGTGGCTTCAGCGCCTGCTGATGTGTCTCCCTCGACACTTATCCCATTCTACGATCCCGACACCAGCGTCCTCATCCTCACTGGGAAGGTGTGTGAGTGTGTGCCTTTGCTGAGCATTAAAATTGGCCATTTATTTATAGTAACAAACAGATTCATCCAACAGTGTGTTTATTTGTTCTTTGGTCTTTCAGGGCGACACACGTGTTTATATATACGAGATCGTGCCTGAAGCGCCGTACTTCATGGAATGTAGTAGTTTTCATTCCTCTGAACCACACAAGGTATTATTGTTGGTGCTGATGTTGATGATACAGAAAGCAGACTGTTTTACTAATGTTTTACCGTGTCATCACAGGGGTTGTGTTTCCTGCCGAAGGCTGAATGTGATGTGTGTGATGTGGAAGTGGCTCGAGCCATCCGACTTGGCAAGACCACCATTGAACCCGTGGCCTTCAGAGTGCCTCGTGTTAAAGTAAGAGTGACCCTCGTACCAGAATCTGAAAACTAATTATTATTATTAATTTTGTTATATTTTTAAATTACATTATGTCTATATTTCTGGATACCTTTAGCTTGATCATTTTTGAGTACTTTTTCAGCTTTATATTACAGTGTTTCTTTCTCATGCTGAATGAACAAATGTAAACATTTGAATCTGTCTTCGCTCCACAGAAAGAGTTTTTCCAGGATGATGTTTTCCCGGAGACTGCAGTGTGGTGGGAAGCAGCTCTGACCGCTGCTGCCTGGCTCTCTGGATCCAACGGACAGCACCGCAAAATCAGCCTGCGGCCCAAAGACATGATGCCCGGTACAGCTCAACATCCCCAAACACAACTCAAAGAATACTTGTCCAAAAATCTGCTCTGTGCATGTAGTATTAAAGCACCCTTCCTTATGATCTGTTTTCTTTCAGTGAGTGAAGCACCAAAAGAGGCTCCTGTTAGGAAGTACCTGCCCTCCTCCGTCTATCTGGAGGAAAAAACTGATGAACAGAAGAAAGAGGAGGTATCTCTGTCTGTCTGTCTGTCTGTCTATCTATCTATCGTTTCTTTGTTCATTCATTCATTCTATATACCTGTCCTTTGTTTGTCTGTCTGTCTGTCTGTGTCTGTCTCTGTCTATCATTTGTTCGTTCATTCTGTCTGTCTCTGCCTATCGTTTATTTGTTCATTCATTCTATGTACTGTATCTGTCGTATGTTTGTTTGATCATTCTGTCTTAAGTTTGTTGGTTTTGTCTGTCTTTCTAGCATTTGTTTGTTCTGTCTGTCTATCATTTGTTTGTTCGTTCATTCTGTCTGTGGCATTTGTTTGTTCTGTCTGTCTTTCTATCATTTGTTTGTTCTGTCTGTCTGGCAATCATTTGTTCGTTCATTCTATCTGTCCATCATTTGTTCTATCTGTCTCTCTCTCTGTCTATTGTTTGTTTGTTCTGTCTGTCTATCGTTTGGTTGTTCGTTCATTCTGTCTGTCTGACATTTGTTTGTACTGTCTGTCTTTCAATCATTTGTTTGTTCTGTCTGTTTGTCTGTGTCTGTCTATCATTTGTTCGTTCATTCTGCCTGTACATCATTTGTTCTGTCTGTCTCTCTCTCTGTCTATCATTTGTTCGTTCATTCTGCCTGTACATCATTTGTTCTGTCTGTCTCTCTCTCTGTCTATCATTTGTTGGTTTATTTTATCTGTCTGTCTGTAATTTTTTGTTCTGTTTGTCTATTGTTTGTTTGTTCTGTCTGTCTCTCTCTCTGTCTATCATTTGTTGGTTTATTTTATCTGTCTGTCTGTAATTTTTTGTTCTGTTTGTCTATTGTTTGTTTGTTCTGTCTGTCTCTCTCTCACTGTCTGTCTGTCGATTGTTTGTTCTCTGTCATTTGTTCATTCTAACTGCCTGTGTCTGTGTCTCTGTCTATTGTTTGTTTGTTTGTTCTGTCTGTCGTTTGATAATTCTGTCTGTTGTTTGTTTGTTCTATCTATGTCTCTCTGTCTATTATTTGTTTTTGTCTGTTCGTTCCATCTGTTGATTGTTTATTCATTCTATCTTTGTTGTTTATTTGTTCTGTCTCTCTCTGTCGTTTGTTTGTTTATTCATTCTATCTGAGTTCTCTCTATCTGTCCATCTGTCGTTCCTTCATTCTGTCTATCTATCTTGTCTCAGTTATTTGTGTGTATGTGTGTTTCTTGCAGTTGCTCAGTGCCATGGTGGCGAAGCTGGGAAACAGGGAAGACCCTCTGCCACAGGAGTCATATGAGGGGGTGGATGAAGACGAGTGGGTGAGTAAAGAACTGACCCCACAAACACACACACCAGATGATTCATAACACACTGTAAACCATCTGAATCCTGTCTGTGTGTGTGTTTCAGGATGACTAACACACAAGCCTTGCCTCGCGGTCCAGTCAGGGTGCCAGCAGCAGACATGGGACGTGCCTGCTGTATTTGAATCTTGCCATTCCAGGGTGCCAATGTACCTCCGAAACGCTCCTCATCCCGTCGGCTTCAGCTCCATACAGCCTGCTGATTCACTCTCACACACTCCTCCATCCGTCTTCTAGTTTATCCACCCGTCATCTCTCTGCATTGGTTTAACTGGAGTATTAATATCTGTTATTAGCGGTTAAAATGATTCTTCACAGATTAATACATTCCTATGCATAGCTCAGACGTTCATCTCAGATGCATCACGCACATTTACAATATGTCAGTTTTAATGATGGGCATCAGTTTTGTACTGCTGTAATTGACTGTATAATGACTGCATGATAGCAGATGCCTTCCGTAACACAAAACCTCTCTAGATATTTTCATTGGTGAAAAGTGCATTTAATACAATCATTTGACTATTGAAATGGTTAAATGTATGTTTTACATCGATATTGTGGTAATTTGTTGGATTAAATGTCACCTCCTTTAGGTTCTTAGCAGTGTTAGTTATCCTTTAATAAGTCTTGAGCAAAAAATGTCAGTGTACCTCTAAATGAATGATCTGGAGACTGTTGAAAACACTCCTTTTTAAACTGGAAAATACTCCTTTTTGTATATTTCCTTCTGCTCAACCTCATCAACAGTATTAACACATCTACTTCACAAGGGTATTTTCTCCAATAATCAGGTCTATCACAAGGCAATACAACTAATTTTGTTTTTTTAACAGAACATGTTTACATATGCCAGGTAAGGAATCGTGCATGTTATGGCACTTGTACCATGTGATGTCCTGTGCTTGACATGTGATCATGTAATCACACATAAATGGTGGATGTTAATAGATATGGTAATGATCTGCTAAGTGTTTTTTTTTTAATGTGAGCTCATTTTGTTACCAATCTGATGTTTTTGGGATGCTTTTTCACAGCACTTGTAATCGCGTTCATTTTAATACTTTATAGGCAATAATGTTTTTCACTCCTCTTTTGAATGGAATCAGTCTTGTGGGAATGTTGCCTCAAAATAAAACCTTGAGAGCTAAGAAATATGGAATTGAGTGGTGTATTTATTGATGATAATCACAATCATATTGTAATTGTTGCAATTGTAAGTGTTATTGTTGCCATTATTATTATTATCATCATAATCATCATTATTATGCAATGTATTATTAATGATATAATTATATATTCACAATATAATATTATTAGTAGTAGTAGTAATATTTCTCTCTACGTATATATGTATATTTTATTCAAGAACTGGTTATAGACAAGTTTCCCATCTGGTGATTTTAAATATATTCCATTACTTATGTTTTTATTATTATTATTATTATTACTTCTACTACTACATTTACAAGCACAATAAGAAGAAACAACATGTAGAGAGTTACAATAGGCTACAAGAAACTATAAAATTACCTAAACCTACATTTAACTCGTTTAACTAAAACGAGTTTTTTAAAGAATGTAAAGATCATCAATTTCCTTGAAATTAAAAATGACTATCTTCTTACTGGCCACCCGGATTGTCCTGCGATTGTCCATTGCTTCAATCTGAGCAGATCGTGAACGTCCTCCAGCCAGCAGGTGTCAGTGTGCGTTGTGTGTGTTCGTCTCGTTTCTTCGCCGGTTTCATCAACCTTGATGGAGTTACACGTGAAAACCTTTGCCCTAAACTGAGCTGTTTATCATCATCACAACAGATCAGTCATGGTATGTTCATATATTTATTTAAAGATCATAATGATTTTATGATTTTATGTCGGTAGCTCTGTATCTCTAGAAATGCTAATAATGGATCATTCCATTTCAGATGATCTTATGCAACGACCTTGCATTTCATTTTCATAGTAGGAGTATTATTGCAGTATGAACGGGAAATGGTTGTATGAACGATCAATGAATCTTTATGACAGCAGAAGTGATGTAAAGATGATTTAAAGAGGCTGTGTATTTGTGAAGCAGTTAATTAAATATATAAGCTCAGATACATGTATATATTTCATTTATTTCACTTATTATGACACATTATTTATTATGAAACATTTGTATGCGAAACAAGAAGGTGTCACTCTAATGTGTCATTTGCCTTCCTTTCAAACTTTGTATCCTCTCATGAAATTGTATGCCACTTTCTTAATGTTTTATGTTCTACTTTGTATATTTAGTGTGTTTTTGTGTTCACATAGGCCAAGTATCTGGCTCAGATCATTGTGATGGGGGCTCAGGTGGTCGGACGAGCTTTTGCAAGAGCTTTACGTCAAGAATTTGCAGGTCAGTTCAAAGAAATGCTATATTTTGTTTGTTTATTAATAATTAATGGCATATTAATATTAGTAGCATTTATTATTCATCAATTTCTCACCATTTGGTAAATGGTATTTGTTCTACTTGTTAATATCTGCTTGATACATACATTAAATAAATACATTTAAACGTGTATTTATTTATTCTTATTTAACATCTCCATAAAATAACAACCAAATATTACAATGTGCTTATAGCTATTATTGTATATCTTCTGTTTTTCTTATTTTGGGAGTCTTAGGAGAATGTGACTGTGTCTTAATACGCAAATGTCTTGCCATGACTGATGTTAATGATCTCCAATATGAGGAATACTCTATATATGTGAAGTATGACTGTGGCATGTTGTGTGAATGTGAATGCAGCCAGTCAAGCGGCTGCTGAGGCTCGGGGTGGAGCGGGCAGACAGTCTGCGGCTGCGTCTAGTTTCACAGGAATGACTTTACAAGAAGCCCAACAGATACTGAACATCTCCACACTAACACCAGAGGAGATCCAGAAGGTGAGAGTCTGTTTTAACAGTCTGTAATATAATTGGGACCAGCATTACAGTATTCACCCTCTAACAAAATGTGTTTTCATTTTATGTGCTTTTATTTTCTCCTCAGAATTACGAGCATTTATTTAAAGTCAATGACAAAGCGGTTGGCGGTTCATTCTATCTTCAATCAAAGGTAATTTTTTCAAGAAACAATTTTTCTTGTTGTTTCCAGAGATATGCTTTTTTGTTAACATCTTTTAAGTCATAATAATGATAAAGCAGGTTTGTGGTCACAGAAACTCTTGGTTCAGTGGTCACTCATAGCTTTTCATCCCATTAGCTATGTTTCCATCCAAAGATTCGAATTAAATTTATGCGCAAAACTGGAATATCGCATTAAACATTTGCGAATAAAGCACTGTTTCCATCCAACGAGTCCAAGAGAACAAAATAGTCACTTCCTGGTAAACTGGCACTAAATATCACTAAGAAAACTAGGAGAAGCCACTGAATATAATAATTTCCATATATGATAAATGACTTGCGCCTCAGAGCGAGCTGACGAAACACAATAAATGCTGTCGGAGGTGGATGCTGCTAGACAATTATACAGAAATACTTCGACGACAGACTTTGCTCAGGCATTTCAGAATGACCAAAACAACATTTATAAAACAGATAGTTCCGGTCCTTGATTCTGATTGGTTGAGCCGCGTTCGAAGCTGTTGTAAATTACTCTACAAACATACACCTTTGTTTACTTTGTGTGTTGCTCGGCAACCACTTTATTGCAACCACAACTGTTTCTGAGGAACTACATTGTTTGGCGGAAGAATACTGTTTTTATTATCATTACACTTTATTTGCTCTGTTTTATTTTGTGAAACCTTACTACGTATATGGAATAACCGTTTTATAAAAGCAGTAAGTCCCGTGAAGCCGTGGTTTACAGTGAATTTATAACAGCTAAGGGTCGTGCCTAACAACGCCTCTTAGTTGTTATAAATTCACTGTAAACCACAGCTTCTTGGGGATTATTGCTTTAATAGATGCTGTGAACGAGATCGGTCCGCTGGTTAGTCAAGTTATCCCATCTTATATAGCGCAAAGTCACGTGACTTTTTCAATGCGAATCGTGGAATTTATTCGGTAAATGTGTTTCCATCGTAGTTTTTGCGCATTTTGTCTTATTGGATAAAGTTTATCCTACTCAAATGTGTGAATAAGTTTTTTTAAATCCAGCGTTTTTTTTATGCGATATTCCAAAATGCGCATAAAATTAGGTGGATGGAAACATAGCGATTAAACCCATATCTTTAGCTATTAGATCAGTGGTTTTCAACATCAAAGAAATAATAATAATGTATGTTTGTCACTCTTGTATAGGTGGTACGGGCTAAAGAGCGTCTGGATGAAGAACTCTCCATTCAACAGCAGCACCAAAGCAAACCACCAGACCAGCAGCAGCAGACATGAGCTCCATCCTCACACGTCTCCACTGTAATTATGACCCAGACCCACAATAAAACTCCATCTTTTTGTACATTGAAATGTCAATCATTTCTTTATTCATCGGTCAGAGTGGAGGAGTATTTTCTGGACATTTCTTGGAAGGTAATTTATCCTGAGGTCGTGTTGGAGTTCATCCAGGAGCTTATTGAACTTTCTAACATGTTTAAAAATGTACATCACTCTTCAAAAGTTTGGTGTCGGTAAGATTTTTGAAAGAAGTCTGTTATTCTCATCAAGGTTGCATTTATTGGATCAAAAATACAGTAAAAAGTAATATTGTGAAATATTGTTACAATTTAAAATAACTGTTTTCTATGTGAATATATTGTAAAATATACTGTATTTCTGTGATCAAAGCTGAATTTTCAGCATCATTACTCCAGTCTTCAGTGTCACATGATCCTCCAGAAATCATTCTAATATACTGATTTGTTGCTTAAGAAATAGAAATCTTTTGTAACATATTAATGTATTTACTGTCATATGTTTGATCAATTTAATGCATCCTTGCTGAATACAAGTACTTTTTTTTTTTTTCTTTTTTTTTGCTGACCTCAAACTTTTGAAAAGTAGTGTATCCATCCATTTCTTCATGTTGAAAGGAATGATCTGGATTTAATATAAGGTATCAACTTCATTTCAGGCTTAATGTAGAAAAAAAAAGTGAAAGTGACGTGACATGTGGCCAAGTATGGTGACCCATACTAGGAATTAGTGCTCTGCATTTATCCCATCCTAAGTGCACACACACACACACAGCAGTGAACACACACACACACCGTGAACACACCCGGAGCAGTGGGCAGCCATTTTTGCTGTGGCGCCCGGGGAGCAGTTGGGGGTTCGGTGCCTTGCTCAAGGGCACCTCAGTCGTGGTATTGAAGGTGGGAGAGAGCGCTGTACATTCACTCCCCCCACCTACAATCCCTGCCGGTACGAGACTCGAACCCGCAACCTTTTGGGTTACGAGTCCGACTCTCTAACCATTAGGCCACGACTTCCCCAGATTACCACGGAAGTCATTTAACACTGTTAAAACTAGGAAAATGTTTGCTGTAATTCAACAATTAAAGTCTAGGCAAAACCTTGGATGGATTTTCCTCCAGTAAAAAGTACTTGTATCGCATGTCCATCTTTTCCAAGCTATGAAAGGAGATGAGAGATTGTCCAGACAAGGTTAATAAGTGATGCTATCACACCTGTCATGATGTTATCATGAAGTCTTGTGGCTGTACTTTAGAAACAGAAATGTATGTTTATCCCAGTATAATAAAATATGTTTATCCCAGTATAATATTATGCCCCATAGACTTCTGTGTAACTGTAAACAGTCCAGTCTGGATGATGCTTGTCTGTGGTAATCAGCAGTGTGCAGCAGATGAAGGTTTTTTTTTTAAATCCAGAACTTTCCTTAAAATCTTGATACATTTGGCCTTCATTTAAGGTCATTCTTTTACCTTCATTTACTACTGTCAGATTCACACCATAAATACTGTCAGTGAAGCGATATACAACGTGTTGCTATTTGAGTGATCAGTGAATTTTCTCTGGTTGGTTATTACTGTAATTAATATATTTAAATATTAATATAATAATATGTATAGCTACATTTGTTATTGTATTTTAAGATTTTTTCCATTTTTGCCAAACCCGAGTAGATGTATTATGAATGTAGTCTGTACAGTAAAAAAAATGCACAATATAAATGCAACATGAATTAACGAGACTTCTGTGATTTAAACCAGCTAATCACACTGAATCTTTAACAAAGAAAATGACTGAATATTGAACATATTTGTTCAAATTATACAGTGTTTTTTCTTCAGGATTAAATATCAAATGTTAATGAGGATTAGGTCATAAACATTGATTACTGAAATTTGTTTTGGGATCCTTTACAAACACTCTGTGTTTACATAAAAATTACTGCTATGTATATTTCAGTTATTCAAACGGGTCAGTCAGACGCGTCGAGCAAAAGCAAACCGATGAAAGAGCCAAGAAAAAAGACCCTGATCTGAGTTAATACTATAAACATTTCAGCCCTCTGTACTTGAATATCCAAAACATTCAGCAAAAAATGACACAGCAAAGCGCAGTATATCAAATGCAAATTTATTAAACATTTGTTTCTTTTACTTTCATTGACATCCTTACCAATACCGTAATAAAAATCCTCTAAAACAGGAGCACACACCTATGTTGTACCAACTGGAGAGTTTTACAGCTCTAAAATTCTGCATGTTCAGCTTTAGAACATGATGCTGGGAAAAAATATATATATTTATTTATATATATATATTTATTTTCATATACTGTATTACATCTACATTTCATCTATAATAAAAGGCACTTGGAAAAAATTAAAATACTGATATTAAAATATCTCAAAAATGTGCAAAAAAAGGAAAAAAATAAAAATGGATACTGGCCTTTCCAGGCCATAGTCTTTTTGTTAACCCTTTGTGCATCTCTGTGGCACTTCAAGAATGTGTCCTATTATTAGTTCATTTTAGAAACATCTTTACTTTTAATGTGAGCTTTTTTCTTTAGATTCTAAAATGGTGCTTAATTTATGTACCGTATCTAGTTTCTTGCATCATTGGAGTGAATATCTAAATTTAAATATCTAGCTATGACATCTTCCCTGCCATTCAGTTTATTGCTTAAGTCTCTCACATACAGTTGCAGTAAATTCAGAGTCATTGAGGATGCACCATCGGTCTGTTAAGGCCTTTGGAGTCAACTGTGTAAAACAGTGTGGCCGTTTTCAGAGTGCTCAAAGGGTTAAAGGTTCAAACAGCTTATCTGATATTGAACATTGATGTAGACCTTGACAGGTCTGTGTCAGTATCAGCTTTCTCCAGCCAACAACATGAGAAAAGGGAGTAGGAGAAGGTGGGCAAAGATATTTCCAACTTGTTTAAAGGATGCAAGGGTTAATAAACGTCATTACCGCTAAAGCCTCCTAAATACATGCTGATGTCAAAGCTCTCCAAACCTGAGAGGATTGTGTTTGATTACTGCATGTATTTGCATGTTATCACTTATCTCTTCTAAAAGGCTTTATAGAAGCACAGGGTTAACCTTTTCTTGGCTGCAACCGAATAAATAAAAATAATCTGGGGCCGTGTCAGGGTCAGTGGCCTACTTTTGAAACTAGGCGCACGATCAAGATGTGGACATGTTGATTGGTTGAATGTCCATTATACAGGACATTAAACATTACATATACATAATTTATAGAGTATGTAAACTTAAAACATCATGATATGATTAGGGCTAAATGTGAGGGCTTCTTACTCAAACCCTTCCCACAAACTTATCTGTCACCTTCTCCTGTCATTTCTCCCTATTTCATCAGCTGGAGAAAGCTGAACACAGAATAGCGATAACAGAAATGAAGCAACTTCAACATCAGGAAATGTCACGTCCAAAACAAAACAAGTCAGTAAAACAAAACAGCATTAATTGTATAGTTTCCACAAGCAATACAACAAAAATAATTATGGAATAAGACTCTGAGTGTATTAATGGTTTGGAGGGGAGGGCAGGGTGCATGCTTTAAGGAAGTGCGATTATTTCAGTCGGAATGTTTATACATTACATTCGTTTGTTCTATACATTTTTTTCTCCCAATCTATGAGTAATGGACATTACTGAAAGATGCTGTAAATATGTCATCTCTGTTAAAGAAGTACTTCTCCTGAGAAGACAGAAGCTGTTACGTGTCTGAGTTCAGGAGAGAAGACTTAATCAAGAGCATTATTTTAATCTGAATGAGGCCTTGATTGTGACAGGTTGATCATCAATGGAGGATGACAAAGACTCTGCAAAGTTTCATATGACCCACTTCAGGATTTAAATGCACCTTTCAACACAAGAATTATACACCGCTTTGACGTTGGAGATAGCGTCATAAAATGCACAATATGAATATCTGCCTTAAAGGTTGTGTTGTACAACTTGATGTGCCTAAAATCTAGCACAGAATCTTTTGAATTTTGATTTTCAGTTTGTATGATGTACCACATAATTACACATCATGCAACTGGGAAAAATCCGAGCCAAATGGGGTCAAATGTGAAATTTTTAGTACTTGGAGTGTCGCCTACAACTCCATTTGTGTAAGGTGGCGTCAGGAGTAATGCTGAAACTTGACACCTCGCTCTAGAGTTTGATGCATTGGGGAACGTTGATGTGGGTCATGTGAAAGGGTCTTAAATCAAAATGCTATCTTTTGGCCACCTGAATAGTGCTTTCTACACTTTATTATTAAGTCCCTACTTTAATCTCTGGGTTTACGATTAGATTTTTAGCACAGTGATTTAACATGGGGCAAACCGTGAAAGCAAAGTTATTTTAAGCAAACTAGGCCCTTAATCGTTGAAGTACACTTAAACTGGTGTATTGCAAGTGTCAGCATGTCCACTGGGTTGTGGATAACGGTTATTTTTAACATTCCACTATTATGCATCAGCCAAAGGTCCTTTGTTTTACCCTGCCGTTCTAGTATACGGCAAAGCAGGACAATATTAAATCTGGCCCTTGATTCAGCTAGTAGTGTGCAGTACAAGTGATGACCATAAGATGGCACTATTTACAACAGTGCCATGTCCTATGGGGCATTAGCATGACCGCTTAGTGAGTTTGTGCCCTTGTATGACTTAAAACTCAGTCAGTCTGAGCCTTGTGTCTGTAAATCTCTTATTCAACAAAATAGAGCTAGTCAAGGTTTCTATTTCCTCCTCCTCAGAGGACAGATTGTCGTTCATACTTTGTCTATTTTTATTCAAAGACATATGCTTACATTGCAGTGACACAGCTAGCAGCAAATGCAAGGTTTTTCATATAGCTTGCAATAGCATTGAGCTAAGGAAGTTCACTTGCAAGGGATGCAGAGGGCACCCGCTGACCGAGGTGGGACTCGGGACAGTCTGAAGCAGTGGTGTCCATTCCTGCTTCTAAAGGGCCACCGTCCGGCAAAGTTTAGCTCTAGCCCTAAGTGTAAACACCTGTACCAGCTACGCAAGGTCTTCAGGATCACTAGAAACTTGTGTGTAGGAGCTGAGCTCTGCAGAAAAGTGGCATATAAGGGCCAGAACTGGACACTACTGGTCTAAAAGGTACAACAGATGTTGATTGACTGCAAGTAAACGAGCTGCTCTCACCTGACCTATGACCTCAGCACCCCTTTGCAAAACTGACCAAGCCCATGCGATTTAGCCTCAAAGATCTCTAGCTCGCTACGCTCAGAGGTCTTTTCATAACGCACGGAATGGCTTGAAGGTCAGAAGAATAATAGCATACATTTGTGTCTTTAGTGTGTTGCGTACACTGTCGTCCAAAGGTTTCTCTTACGCGTAAATACATTTGTCTCTTGAAGCAAGGGCACAGATTCTGAAGTCTGCCGTTTAGATCAGTGCTCTCATAAAACAGAAAACAAAGTGTATAAGACTTAGGTTCCGATCCTGCTTCTGGAGGGCCACCTTTCTTCAGAGTTTAGACCAGGGAAGGGCAACCCTGGCCCCCAAGGTCCACTGTCCTGCAGAGTTTACATCCAACAAGCTCACCTGGCTGTAATTTATCTAGTAATCTTATAGACTTTGATTAGTTTAGTTTGTGTTTAGTGAGGGTTGTAACTAAACTGCAGGAAAGTGGACTTTGAGGGCCAGATTTGCCCACCACTACTTTAGCCCCAACCCTAATTAAACACAATTAATCAAGCTCTTTCAGGATTACTCAAAACTTTCAAGCAGGTGTATTGGAGCAAGTTGGAGCTAAACTCTCCAGGAGCAAGATTGGATAACCCTGGTAATAAGATAAGCCAGAAAGAATGAGAATGGAATGGAGGTGAGTGTTTGGCCACTTTCTAGATTGTTACGATAATTTCACTTCAAGATACCATCCTTATTACCACAAGAAACAGGTAGCTGTGTCCGACCATAAGGTACAAATTAGAACTGAAGTAGCGCTAAAAGTTGAAGATGGTGTCACCTCCAAGCAGAAACGCATTTGCTTTGAGAAAACCCCCCCATAGGCTTGCATCTGACCTCTGACCCCTGTTCCACCCCCACCCTTCCCCTGCCGTTTCTCTGGAATGTGGCGCTCAGTTGACCACAGCTGGCTTCAGCACCACCGGGCCAGAAGGGATGACAACCCAAGACAGGGGGTCATGGGATGCCCCCGTAGACAAGTTGAGCACTCCGCCGTGGATCTCGTCCTCACCTCTGGCCTTGCCCTTGCCATGGTCCCTGTGCTCCGAGCCCAAAATAGGCACCATGGGCAACCCCAACATGGAAGATGAGAAGGTATGAGACAGCAAGGGTGACTTGGCCAGGCCAAGCGGGGAACCACTGAAGGACAGGATGGAGGTCTTCCCAAGCCCAGCTGGAGGGGAGCTTGGGCAGCCCAGTGTGCTCAAGTCCAAGGGGTGGGGACTGAGGGGGGAGAAGGGGAGGGAGCCTCCAAGACCCTGCAGATGGTGACCGCCCAGGAGAGCAGCGGCAGCACCAGGAATGATGATGTGGGCCCCACTGACGTAAGTCAGCTCAGATTCTTTCCCTGCCCCTGCAATCTGCCCCGGCTTCATCAGAGAGCCCACCCCACCCGGACCTCCCTGCTCCTGGGCGACAAAGTGCCCGTGAGCCTTAATATGCTTCCTCAGGGAGCTGGGATCTGTGTAGCGTTTCAAGCAGCCCACCATCTTGCAGTAGTAGGGCTTGTCCACATAGTGCGTACGCGTGTGTTTGAACCGGTCACTGGAATTGGAGTAGCGCTTGTTGCAGCCCTCGTAGGGACAGATGTATGGCTTCTCTCCTGAAATACAACCACCAAGTTAGCCAGGTCATGCAATCTTCACGTATCTATCCATACATTTAACTTGGTACAGACCTGTGTGTGAGCGGTTGTGAATCTTGAGGTTCTCCAGGCGGGAAAAGCTCTTGTTGCAGGTGGGACAGCGGTGAGGTTTCTCATTGGTGTGAGTACGGATGTGTATCAGCATCTTGTACCTAATGATGCAGACATTAGAATTAAGGTGCATGCTTTAGAATTAAAGGGTTGGTTCACCCAAAAATTAAAATTCTGTCATTAATTACACACCCTCATATCGTTCCAAACCCGTAAGACCTTTGTTCATCTTCAGAACACAAATTAAGATTTTTGATGAAATCCAAAAGCTTTCTGACCCTGCATAGGCGGCAAAGGAACTACCACGTTAAAGGCCCAGAAAGGTAGTAAGATAATATAGATAATATAGTTCACGTGACATCAGTGGTTCAACTGTAATTTTATGAAGCTATGAGAATACATTTTGTGGGCAAAGTAAACAAAAATAAAGACTTTATTCAACAAATCTTCTCTTCCGTGTTAGTCTCCGCCGCGCATTCACAAGAATACCATGACGCATACTGTACGTGTGGTGCTGCTGATGCAGGAGCCGGCGTTCTGTGCCTTGTTTGCAAGCAAAGGAATGCACACGTCGAAGTCTGACACGGAAGAGAAGAAATTGTTGAATAAAGTTATTTTTGTTTTCTTTGCTCACAAAAAGTATTCTCGTAGCTTCGTAAAATTAAGGTTGAACCACTGATGTCACATGGACTATTTTAACAATGTCCTTACTACCTTTCTGGGCCTTGAACGTGGTAGTTGCATTGCTGTCTATGAAGGGTCAGAAAATAACAAAACAAATCTTAATTTGTGTTCCGAAGTTGAATGAAGGTCTTACGGGTTTGGAACGACATGCAATTAATGACAGAATTTTAATTTTTGAGTGAACTATCCCTTTAAGGTACATGCTTATGTAACTTAACGGTGCGACTAGTAGCTGAAACGGCTGAATTTTCCTTTCCAAGGAAATTAACCTAAAATGGCTCATACAGTATGGTGGGTATGCATTTTAAAATGAAAAAAAAAGACTTGTTATACTAGCAACACACCAGTATTTCTCCATTTGCATCTTTGACGTGCCAATATTCAGTACTACAATATACCTTTCAAATTACCATGCACAATTTTGTGGACATTTCAGAATACCGTGAGATAATCTATTAGTCAAAATTGTTTACTTTTTATGAACACACCATAGCTTAATCTCTATCAACGAGTCAAGATTAACACAACACTCTCCTGTCCAGCTTTTAAATGTAGCTTTTTTTAAGATGGGTCAAAACTCTTTTTAAGTCTGTTACAATAAAACGTAGATTGGTCTAATTTGAATCCAAAAAATAAGACTCGTTACCCCTTGGCTAACTGCTAATTGATTTAGTTCTTAAGACTGAGTCTTTACATAAAGGCTAAATTTATGCAACTGGCCCCTGCTGGTGCTAAATGTATCACAGACAACCTTATTTAGAGAATGCACTAAACACACCTGGCATTGAATCCCCGTCCTTTGCGTGCACATCCCTCCCAGAGGCAACAGTACCCAGATTCCTTCTCAGGTTTTACATGGAAGTCATTGACGTGATCCACCAGGTCTTGCAAGGAGTCAAAAAGTAGGTGGCACTGTGACAAGAAAACATGCACTATGAGCTAAGGTAAAAAAAAAAGCACATTAGCACCTGCATTAAACTGCTTCTATTTCTCACCTTCCTCCAGCGACAGGCCAGCTGTTCATCTGCGGAGAGGTCTGGAGAAGCTCGTGTGTCCTTGGGCTGCCGAATGAACATTGAGGAAGGCAGGTGAAGCCCTCCACCTCCTCCAATGGGCACGAAGAACTGGAACGCTTGAGACGTCACCCCTCCCTCCACGTAACGGATATGAGCCAAGTCCTGCGGGAACAAAACCAGAAAAGGCAAACATAATTCAAGCCTCTTTATCTTTTTACAGCAGGCCAGCGATTCTAGTAATAGTTGTTAAACTCAGTAACAGGAGCTACAGGAGGTCCGTGTTCTGTAATCGCCCTCTCAGCGGGAGACTCTTATGAGTGTTTTGCTGGATGTGGCAGCTCGTCCTCGCTGTGTTTCTGCCTCCAGCTTTGCTGATCTGAGCTAATGCCCTGCCACACTTTGCACTCCACCACAGATTTGAGACTTTAATGAGAGAAAGCGAAATGGCAAGGCACCAATAAACATAACATAATAAGAACATAGAATCTTATACATGGAGCTTGATTTTGCACAAGTGCCCTATTATGAGCACACTGATAAAAGTGTTTTTTTTTTTGATAGCAGGACTAGACAGTAAACTATAAACTAGAGATTGTTTTGAAGGAAATGTGAGTAGGTGGGAATCAGCAGGAACCTGGTGATGTTATGTAGATATTTGAGTCACGTTTTGATAATAGGCCTATATTTATAAAATGCCATTAAATAAGATACTGAGATATTTTAAAGTATATATATTTCTTTCTTTTACCCTCACTAGTTTTTTAGTGTTTAAGGGTTTGTTCATGTTTCTGCCCCTAACTATAAGCAATAGTAATAGTGATGCTTAAAGGTTAATTAGAGTAGAGACAATGATGGTTTTGACTGGACAACAGTGTCAGGGCTGTCTGGGAAGTTTTCAGCTATGTGAGAAATGTGCTTAGAAAATCATGTAAAATGAGGCTCAGGAGTGCCATCATCTAAGACCTGGCTGCTGTTTATCCGTTGGCTTGAAGGAGGGGTGGCAGGCATCGGAGACACACACATAAGCACACAAAAAGCCATGCGTCTCGCTCCCAATTCAATTTTGAGCGAATTAAATTAAGCAGAAAGAGCGGACGGCGAAAGAGAGACACTTTTGTGAAGGAGCACAGGGGGCATTTGATAAGAAACACCAGTTTTGGGTCACTGAGGGTAACAAATCTGAATGTCTCGTGTTGAGGGAAGGTGAGGAATGTTCCTGTGCATTTAATTCTTCATTTGGACAACTTTAAAGGCAATTTTCTCAATATTTTGATTTTTTTTTTGCACCCTCAGATTCCAGATATTCAAATAGTTGTATCTCAGCCAAATATGATCCTATCCTAACAAAGCATACATCAATGGAAAGCTTATTTATTCAGCTTCCAGATTATTGGAATTTCAAAAAATTGACCCTTATGATTGGTTTTGTGGTCCAGGGTCACATATGGTCATTTTATGCACATATGGTCATTTAAATGAACAATTTAATGACTTGGATAAGTCAAAAAAGACGTTTTAAGTCATTTTTACAGTGTAATCAGATGGTCTACACAGGCTACAACTCAAAATGTCAACATAACAGATCATTAAACTGAAAAAAGGCTCACACATAAGCACACAAAAAGCCATGCGTCTCGCTCCCAATTCAATTTTGAGCGAATTAAATTAAGCAGAAAGAGCTCTGTGTGGCTGTACCTTGCTGTAAATCTGATTTAACCTCGCGTCCCATCCGTCAGCCACACGGACGGCGAAAGAGAGACACTTTTGTGAAGGAGCACAGGGGGCATTTGATAAGAAACACCAGTTTTGGGTCACTGAGGGTAACAAATCTGAATGTCTCGTGTTGAGGGAAGGTGAGGAATGTTCCTGTGCATTTAATTCTTCATTTGGACAACTTTAAAGGCAATTTTCTCAATATTTTGATTTTTTTTTTGCACCCTCAGATTCCAGATATTCAAATAGTTGTATCTCAGCCAAATATGATCCTATCCTAACAAAGCATACATCAATGGAAAGCTTATTTATTCAGCTTCCAGATTATTGGAATTTCAAAAAATTGACCCTTATGATTGGTTTTGTGGTCCAGGGTCACATATGGTCATTTTATGCACATATGGTCATTTAAATGAACAATTTAATGACTTGGATAAGTCAAAAAAGACGTTTTAAGTCATTTTTACAGTGTAATCAGATGGTCTACACAGGCTACAACTCAAAATGTCAACATAACAGATCATTAAACTGAAAAAAGGCTGTTTTTGTTGGCATTTTAGTATATTTAAGCTTAGATCACTGTAAAGTATTTTAAAGTAATACTTCTTGGTGCCCATGTAATTGTGCCGTTCCCTAGTGTTGTGGACTCACCCCGGGGAAAACGGGAGCTGAGCCGTTTCCATTGGAGAGATCCGGAGAGCAGGCGGTGTTTCTGGAGGACGGGGACATGCTGAGGTCCACAGCGGGCGGTGTGGGGGTCTCCAATTTATCCTGCAGGACACCTGTGGACATACACACCTCTGTTATATTCTCTGCAATTACAGTGTTGTATACTTCACGCTGTGCTGATTTGTTTACCTGTGTGTGGAGAGGCAGGAGACGCTGGAATGATGACTGCGGTCCCGTCGTCTGCCATCCGCAGCTGCCCCGCCCCCTTAGCGTGAATGGGAGAGGGAGTGAGAGTGGGCGGAGACCTGGCGCCTCTGTCCCGCCCACTGACCCGCCCCCTCGGCACTTTCAGGTCCAGTGGCTCGTCTAAGGACAGCATGATGGCATGCAGTCCAGAGCCTGCAACCTACACAGAGAGCAGTTTAGGTGAGAACACTGAAACATTCACACAGATCCTGTAACAGCAGGACAGTTGCATAAGAGCAGTGAGCATTCATAACACCACCATGACTTTCATGCTGGAAACATTAATCCAGAAGTAGCTGCCTTAAATGGACCAGAACTGTTCCATAATTTGATGGTTATCATTCAGATGGAGAGGTTGTGTTGTGGATTTCAGCATCTCTTTACTGACTGAGGCACATTTTTCAATGTAGTACGTTTCAGTGTATTTCACTATTGTTGATACAATATTATAATTGTATTACTATTTTGAATTAGCTCTAAATTTTATATTTTCAGTTTTCTTTTTAATTCTAGTTCAATTTTTAGTAATTTTACTGTGCTCTTGCAATTTTGATTAGTTTTAGATTTAAAAAAAACATTAATATTTATAAATTATGTATGTGCTATTATAGTTTTTATTAATATTTTTAATTAGCTTTTTTTTTTTGCTTTTTCAGTTTTCATTTAAGCTATAGTTAAATTTTTAGCAATTTTGTGTGTTCATAGTTCAAGTTTTAGATTTTTTAAATATATCTATTTAGTTGGAACATATTTTTGTTTCATTTTTAGTTTTCATCTCCCTTTTTTAATTTTAGTCATTCAATTTAAGCTTATTTTAGTTGCCAAGGCAACATTCCAAATTTTCATTTACTTTTATTTTTTATTTTTCATCTAATAACTGTTTTTATGTCAGATTTGAGCATTGAAAATAATAAACGTTAGGGATGATCTGAGAAAAAAATTGATATCAGATTATTTAGAACAATATCTGCCAATTCTTATATTTTGGTGCTTCTGCTTTTTGTTAATGACTTATAGATCACTTATAATTAATTACACCGCTTTGGAAATAATGTTTTTTTATAGACAAAATCAGCTCTGAACATGAGCTGTTTTTAAACAGTTGTCTGATGTTAATGTCCTATTTTGTATTACTATTTAAAAAATGGTATGTGAAACTACATATTACATACATATATTCAAATATTGAATATATTGAACATATATTGAACTTTATATTCATCAAATAACTGTTTCCACAAAAATATGAGCACGACTGCTTCCAACATTGATAATAATCAGAAATGTTTCTTGAGCAGCAAATCATCATATTAGAATGATTTCTGGAGGATCATGTGACACTGAAGACTGGAGTAATGATGCTGAAAATTCAGCTTTGATCACAGGAATAAATTAATTTTTTTCAATATATTCATATACAAAACAGTTACTTTAAATTATAATATTTCACAATATTACTGTAAATATTACTTGTAAACTTTTAAAATCCATTAAAAAATTAGCATGTATGTGTTTATTATTAGTACGTTTGGAAACAAAGTTGTTTTTACGTGGTACAAAGTTAATTCAGTGAGCACTTTTGAGGTACTCTAGGAAGTTTACTCTGTTACATGGAAGCAATTTGCATACTCTGCATAGTATGCATACTAGCCTATACAGTGCAGAAAGTAGTATGACAGAATGCAGCTGCATACAGAAACACACACGCAAGCGTTTAGATGCTGTTTAGATTTCACTTGGCAAGAAAGTTTTTCCCCTTTTGCTCATTGTCTTTCTAAACACCTCACACACACACACACACGGTCAGCCCGTCTGAAAAAACATCCCCGATCGATCTCACACAATTACTTCCACTAGCTTCCCCTCATTCCCCCGCACAAACTGTCCTCACAATTACAGCCATTACAGCTTCCACATTCCTGCCGACTGCATGCCAAATACAACGTTCACAGAGCTCCACCTCAAAGCACAGTTTCACATCTCTTTTTGTGCGACATATAAGCGCGTACGCATGCTTCCCGCCGCGCTGAATGGCTCTTTGAGAGGGGTTAGCTTGTGCCAACAGCAGGAAGGTCAGCGAGGTGAAGGCAGCGGGTCACCGAGTTCAACAGCCCAGCCAATAATCAGCAGATAACCGCACACAGAGCTGCATTATCAAGCAGTTCTGTGTCCTCGGCCTCCCACAATGTCTCAACCGCGTCCTGAAATGATCTGCGTCCTCTTGGAAAGATCTCAAACGCTCCAATTTTTGGTCTTTGATGCCGTGCCAAAGAAGCAGACAGGCAGTTTTACAACAACTAGCGACGATTGGTCAGAAGAATACACAGGTTGCGTCATGGCAGGAGTTAATGTGCAACCCGTAGTATCTCCAGCTGTCTGGTGTGTAAGCGTCCTGTGTGGACTGAATCTGTGCTATCTCAGACCGGGGTGGGGTTAGAGACGTGATATGTGTGGTATGTTAATGATTTTCACATAATTGTCTCAATACGGCGGATAAAGACTGCTTTGTATCTCAACTCTATTGTGTGGTCGGAGCATCCAGTCAGAACCTAAAAACAGCATTCACAGCCCATATTACTTCCATAATGCCACATATTTTTGAATTAATTTGGACATTTTACAAGAAAACATGCAGGGACTTGATTAGGCTTATTCCATCAGGTGGTTGAACAATAAGAGGCATTGGGACGTCAGTCAAAAAGGAAAATTGTTTCAGACTATGAAGCTTAAAGGGGTCATATGATGCGATTTCAATTTTTCCTTTCTCTTTGGAGTGTTACAAGCTCTTGGTGCATTTGTTTTGGAATAACGCACTGATGAATTCTGAACAATAGGAACAGGAATGTTTTAAAGTAAATAGGGTCAGTTTTAGGAATGCACAATACCATATGAATTGTTGTCCATTTTATTTTATTTTATCAGTACTGAAATTGAATATCGTCCAGTATTTAATACTGAACAGGGCATGCTCATTCCTGCCTATTAGTGTTATTTTAGTATCAATTAGAGTTTATTTTGTCTTTTAATTTTTAGTTATTTTTTTGTCATTTTTATTATTTCTTTATAGTGTTTATAAAGTTTTAGTTCATATCGTTTTAGTCATTTTAGCTACTGCAAAGTAAATGAAAAAGAGAAATGTTGTCTTTGCATCTAGCCGAAATAATAATTAAAAATAATTTTTAATATATATTTTATTTTATTTCAGTTAAAGGGGTCATATGATGTTGCTAAAAAGAACATTATTTTGTGTATTTGGTGTTATGAAATGTGTTTATGCGGTTTAAAGTAAAAAAATGCGTGAACATTTGGGCGGCGTTATGCAAATCTTCCCACAGAGCGACGTAGGTATGTTGGGGCGTGTTAGAACGAGCCGTTTTAGGTAGGTGTGGCTGACTCTTAACTTTTATAAACAATATCTCTTTGGATTTGAGACTTTAGTCTTTGCAACTTTACAGATCTTCTTTATGCACCAAGAGCTTGTAACACTCCAAAGAGAAAGGAAAAATTGAAATCGCATCATATGACCCCTTTAATGTTTTAGTTAAAAATAATCACCCTGCTGCCTATTATGTTAGACATCATCTAACAATCAAAGCTAATTAGATATAAAAACACTAGTCATTTAATAACACTTATTATAATTTATAATTTGGATATTGAAAATGAATATCTTTTACCTTTTATATTTTTAATTATAATATTGTGATATCTAAAGTCTCTTGTGCTATTTTGTTTTAATGTTATTAATTAAAAGTATAATTTTATTTATTAATTTTTTTAAACACAAAATACTGGCATTTTAAAATTAGCCATTTCTTGGTTATTGGCCATAACACTAAATTAATTATCCATGTGAGCCAGAATTAAAATATCAGTGCATCTTCTAGTCCATTTTGTTTTTATATTACGTTTGTTTAATAGCTGCCATAAGCATCAAGCTGTTAAAATAACTTTTCGGAAGATTACAGTAATATGTAGTCAAGTGCTATATGTTTCTTGTGATGGAGAAGAGGGAGCTCAGCCCTGCTCCTGGTTATCAGCCTTCCTGCTGTTCAGTTTACTGCCGGTAATTTTCCAGTAAACTCAAAGACCTTTATTAGCAGGTGTGTCTGATTAAAGTTGGACCTGAGCTCCGTTAGAAGGTAAGACCTCCAGAGAGTTTGGAAATCATATTTATAATGTGTGCTCAAGTCATTTTGGTCAGTCTGATATAAACACGTTTCTGATATTAACATTTCTTTCTCTCTCTTTCACTTCCAGATAAAGGATACATTTGGAGCGCAAGAGCAACAAAGTGAAGAACAAAGCATGTGCATTATGCATGCAATATCATGCATAATGCACATATAAAATGCTTATGTGCTGCCACAGTGAAGGATGGGAAATTGTGGTTGTGCAAACCTTTTGTGGCTAAATGAATGCGCACAAACTCAATTGTATACAATGAAGAAGATTCACAATTAAATATTATGATCAATACCAATTACAGTAGCTTCTGCATCAGTCCTGAGCTCCCACATGGTTCGGTCAGGAGAGCCAGAAGTTTCCATAACAAAAGAGCTCCTCGTGCTGGTTACAGCTCCATGTGTAAACCATTACTAGTCCATGCCTAAGGCCAGCTGCAATAAATCATCTCTTCCTTATTTTAATTAGGCCCCCAAACGGTCCACGTCTGACCCCCCTCACATTTCCGAGAGACTGTTCGGGAACGGTTCGATCCAGCCGGTTTGAGGAGAAGATTCGTGTTCGTTTTTGTGCTGAAAGGTACTGATTGATAAATGGCTCTGAGGTATGAGGAAGGTCAGGTTTGTGTGTTTTTGACAGGATACAGATTAACAGTGCAAGACAGTTATACGGCTTCATACATGCCTGGATCAGTCACATCCCATCTGGGGTTAAAGATCAGCCATAATGCTACACAAAAGCAATCCTTTCTATATGAAAAAGAGGCAACTTGACATGATAATCTCATTTATAACACTGAGGGGAAAAAAGCATTTCATTAGACATAATGTGTTTTTTGAGACACAAATACAAGAAATGTAGAATTTCGTTCAACCTGCATTAAAACCTGTTATTATAATCAGTGATAATTATGTAATAATTATGATTAATTATTTAGCTGTTTGTTTTACTTTATGCTATTGCTTTTGTCACCAC